TTCAAAAAAAGCTCCGGATAAGTGCTAGGAGGTTAGGAAAATAGGAAGATGGTAGGTATTATGGGGATGAGGAAGGGGGTCGTACCTTCCTTATTCCCATACCACCTAACATCTACCTACCTTGATGATTAAATGGTCCTCATCCCTCTGAGCTCCAGTGAGTCGCTGACAGGGCATCTCTGGCTGAAAGGGGCAGTTAAAACTTCGAGGAAATCGCAAAAAAACAGGCTGCCCGTGAGCCAAACCGAGGGCGGGTTTGGCGCGGCTCTAGCCCGTTAATCAACAATTGTTGAACCGGGTAAGCGATAAATTGATGAAACGAGCCGACGCCGTGCCGAAGCCCTCCCCTAGACACGCCCCTGCACCCGCAGCGAACGAAACTGCATCCCATGCGAAATAGGAAAGAGAGACGAATTTAATGGTCATATGAGCAAAAACAAGAATGTCGTAGTTTGGCGGTCTGCAATAAGTTTAGCACGCTCCAGCAAAATCCCAAAATTTTTACAACAAAAACTGTTTAAAAAACGGCGCATAATTATGGATCACCCCAGTAACATTACTAGAACCGTACTTGATCAGTGACATAAAAGTTTGATGCGTTCTTTTGATGCGATCAACATTTCTAAGGTCACGCAGCCTACTAGTAAGGACTACCCAAAACGAAAGCTGCAATTCCCAGCCAGGGGACTTACAGTAATCACCTCATAAGCGAAATAAACGCTGGAGATCCTTATCCAGCACTCTATTAAGTGCAAATAATTCTTATGCAAATGCTATTTGCACGAAAAACACAGCCATGCCTACCATCATATACTAGGAAAACCTAACTTCAATTAAATCCCTACTCTACAGCAATTTGCGATATGCATTTCAATAGACACGAAATCGGTAGAAACCAGTCAAAGTCACTGAGTGAAATACATGGCATAACAAATCAATGAAAAATTCTAAAGAAAACTGGATAACAACTGACGTATGAGCTCAGTTAAGCTGCCGATGACGTACATTCATCAACAGCTTTTCTTAAAAGAAATTCGTACGAGGCATCAAGCGTTTCCGGTGACGACATCAATGCCGCCAGATAGACATGAAATCTGAAAGAATACATGAGTACGAGTGAATTGAGTCAACTGGAAATGAGAACAGTAATGAGATTCCGCAACGAATTCGCGCACAAAGAACTTCAGCCAACGTGCCGAATGCTTCAGCAGAAAAACAGCGCTCTGGGGAGAGTTTCAGAGACAGACCCCCGCGCTAAGCAATCCATGGACATTCTTCCTTATGCAGGTGGTCCAGCTCAGACTCAGAGACTGCCTTTTTCGCGTGTCCACGGTGAGTGACGAGGATGCTGCAGCCGTCATTAGTTCAAGCTCTGACACCCGCTCAGTTGGACCGCCTACCCAACGAACATCCTCTTTACACCTAACGCAGGGGCGCACAAGTGTTGTTTGCTGTAGCAGTGGGCATAAATCAGAAATGCGCGTCCATTTTTGCAAATAGCGCTCGTTGTTCAGAAGTAATCTTGCTCTCCCTTATCACTTTTTCATAAAAGCACATACAGTCAACAGCAATCCATCTCGCAAGGTAGCACGCGTTCAAATCGCTAGCGATGCAGCTGTTTTGGTGCAGAAACTCGCCGTGCATCACCTACCGTAATCCTAATTTCGCGCGCAAAATTTTCAAAAATACTTTCTGCGATGAGTTTTGCACCAATGTTTTTGTTGTTTTTCGATCTTTTTTTTCTTAGCATTGGATAGAGCATTTGGCACTGGGTAATGTGAAAGAAAAAAAATATGTGAGCCACGGGTTGCACAGAGGCCGCAGGAGGCCGATTTGCCAGCGAGCCTGGAGAATTCATAGGCTGCGTTCATACTTTGTGGCAGCGTCCACTAGCGTTTCGAGCGTCGGCAGCGTCAGCGACTGGGAAAGTATAGATATCGATCTAGCGTCTACCAGCGTGTGCCAGCGTGCACCAGCGTCTACCAGCGTCCGGGAGAGGAGAGTATGGCGCGATAGGAGGGTAGCAGACAGCTGGTGCCCTCCTATCGCGCCATACTCTCTACCAGCAGTCTGCCACTCCTCCTATAGCGCTATACTCTCTTCTTCCGGATGCTGATAGACGCTGGTAAACGCTGGCAGACGCTATATCTATACCTATACTTCCCAGGCGCTGGTAGACGCTGGTGCACGCTGGTAGATGCTGACAGGCGCTAGGTCGATATCTATACTTTCCACGCTGACGCCGCTGGACGTCGAAAAGCTAGTGGACGCTGCTGCAAATCAAGAACGCAGCCATACAATGAGGCTGTGCGACTGTCAGGGAAGGGTTTTGCTCATGGGTTTTTGAGGATTTTTTTTGCTTTTCCTTCTTTGGGTAATCACTTATCGGCGGCTACTGGCCATGATTGAGCCCCTACTATCCATAATACTCAGGATCGCAGGATTTGCCTTTTCAGTCACCTGTTCGCAATATCCTCATAAGGTGAGACAGCCGCCAGAAGGCAACACGCCACTGCACGATCCTCTTCTGATAACACCGGCCGTTGTTGAATTCGTGCCACCACTTGCTGGCCAGATGTCATCAGTGACGAGAGGCGCTGACTGTCCCGCATTCGTTCACACAGCTGAAAATCAGAAGTTGCAAAACGTCTCAAGGATTGACCCTAAGGACTTGTTGTCCCACACAATCATCAGTATTCAAGCATTTAGGCATAGGTATTTTTGTCCTGGACATCCTTCTCCTCCTTGTTCCCTATCTATAAAGTCAAACATAGGAAATTTCGTGCTCTGTTGCTACTTCTATTTCTCCCTTTTCTTTCGAATA